TGATGATTCTGCTTATAGGGAAAATGGATTCAACATATTTGTTAGCAACAATATAGCACTGGAGCGATCCCTGCCAGACATCCGACATCCTAAGTAAGTAAATTGTTTCCTGGACTACATGATTTTGAGTATTTATTGTCGTAGATCTCTAAACAACCTGTTTTCTCAGAAGATCAAGCATGAACCCTCAGCCAACAAAAAGTGACCATTGTATGAAATAGGAAATGAAAAATGTATTGCTGTTGTTAAATCATTTTCTCTGTCGTTGAAATTGACCTCTCATCTTAGTAACACATTCAGGTTATAAAAGGCCTCTTTTAGTTACAGAATTATTTTGATGGTAAGTATGAGTAATAATTTTTTAGGCAGCAACATTTCACATAGTTTTTGAGGTTAATAATAGCTGCAAATCTTTAGGCTGGGCCTGAATAAAATTTTTGGCTAAATGTTTGGACCAGTATTTCCAAAATGTTGGGTTTTTTTGTTTTGTTACATAAAAAGTGAAAGCAGTTTAATAGTTACAACTTATCAGATGCTGATGATACAGCTGACTTACACAGTGTAGAATTGCATAAAAACTGAATGAGCAATGATGGAATACATGTGCAGAATTTGGGGGGCTTCAGTGATGGTATTGTTCCTTAATAGCAGCAATATCTCATAGAAAAATAAGAGATTATTCTGGGAAATAACCACCAAACTAAAAATGATAATGCGGTGCTCAACGAATTTAACTTCTTCATGTTCTGTGATTTTTGGCTCCATTATACAAAAAGTATATCTTTCCATCCCTAGCAAGAAAGCTCATGTATGCTTTTCTGAGCTTCAGGCTGTAGTACTCTAGGGTCATTCTAACGTCTAAAGGGGGAGGGATGATTTGCTTTGTCTCTTTATGTGGTGTTCTTACCTCTTTTAATGAGGTGTTATGCAAGTAGTGTATGAGTGAAAGGTACAAAACTAATTGTCTCTGTGGCTAGGCTTGTATTTTCTTTCAGATACAATTCCCTTTATTGTACAATATTTCAGGTTAAGACACATACTCCCTTGTTAACCTATACAATTTTGCTCTGTGAATTAGTTTGAAACTCTTCAGAGAACTAAACAGAATCTGAGAGCTTGACAGTATTTCTTGGGGGTGGGGGCCAGGGTAGAGAAATATCATGGCAACTAATGTGTCTTGTTTCATCAAATGTGGAACTGTCCTTTTTAAAGAATGAACAATATATAAATGTCTATAGGAAGATGAAAAAAAAAATTAATTACTTACAGTGGAGGAATTACCAAAAAAAATAGTTTAAAAAAAAACAAAACTGAATTTTTTTCATATTTAATTGTCATGTTGCATTGTCTTGAGAAAACACTTTATTTTTTAATGTATATATATTGGTATTGTTTGCATAGAATTAAGTCAAAAGAAATAACTTTTTTTAGTAAGCTATATGATTTATGTGCTTTGCTTGCCTTCTGCTTTGCAAAGATACATGAAATTATTTATGGAAAGAGT